GTTTCTTTTCATGAATACACGGCGACCACAAGAAGGCAGCCGGTCAGGCTCGACTGTCTATGTCATCGTAGGCCATTGTTCCTCATTGAGACCGATCGCCGTCCCGAATTTCGCAGTGCTCGGTCCCCAAACTAAAATTTCCTCACCATCGTCCAGTCTATCGTTTCCAATGTGTGCGCACTGTCCACGATCCGGTTCCGGAGCCAAGTGGCGTCAACGATCCGGAATACCCTGCTACTCTATCGTTCCTCTCTGAATTTCATTTTTATTATCTTCAAGTACCAGTACTTTTTACTTTGTAAAGGAGGTCAGCAACACGGAAAGCAAACAACTTGGGAATTTGTTCTTTTGTAATCGTGTGATTTTCCAAATTCCAATTATGGAACGAATGATTCATTTTTGAAATTTTTATCAAGCCAAGTTTATTTCCGTTATTCTAGTTTGTTTTGTTTTTCAGTGAGTCATCAGCACCTTCGCTCCGACGACGGCCACCACGTGAGACGACATTTGGCATCTCTGAAGACGACACTTCCGAGGAACGTCACTGGACTCCAGCGATGCAGGTAGGTCTCACCTAAGGGAAACTCAAGTAACCAAATAAGGGAAGGATAGACGTAACTTCTATCTCCTATATTGATGCTTCTTCGGATCAGGTCTCTTCGAGCCTACCAGTCCTTCTGTCACTGCTGTGCGGTCAATTCTTAAAACTTCCAGTGGTTGATGGCCAAATATTAGTCACCCAGGGAAGCGAGCATTCAATTGCTTCCACACTTTGATCGGAGACGAATACATGGCATATCCCATAAGATAAACCCCTCTGAGCATTTTTAAGTAACTTCTGACTAACAAGCCCCTAATCGTAGATCGAGAATCAGCGGTTGAAATGAGATGACTGCTCTGGGCTTTGAGGCTTCCATGGACTGCTGTAGCAGCTGTCGCCACCTTTCCGTCGTAGGGGAATGTATAAATAAAAAGATGTATTTCTGGGAAAATCCAATCTAGCTAGATCATTTCTTCATTTCTGCGGTCTTCTGAGATTTGCTCCAGTTGGGATAAAAAACCTCGTCATTTATTAGTTCACTATTAGCTATAGAAGGGACCACTCATTATTTCGTGGCCTCGGTAGCGGATTTCATGCGATTTTGTCCATGGGCAGCTTCCCGAGCGCAAGCTTCCCACTTCGAAGCCACCCCTGATATTTTACCCGGAGGCAATTTGTAAGTAATCTGCAAATGGATAAACAACACTCATTTATATAAGATAAAACAAAGTGGTACTGACAAAGGTGGTTTTTGAAGGAGACATGTTCCGAGTCCTGTGCGGCATTCCATGATTCCTTGTGCACCACAGATTTGTCCCGATATCAATCTCTTCTTTACCGTAAACTGTGCCTTCAGATTGGAGCACAATTCCCCTGGGCATCGATTGTGATTTTAGCAAGTGGTCCGTAGGAATGTCCTACGGACCACTTGCTAAGGCCTCTACGAAAACTCGTACTTGATCAAAAAAAAGCGTTAGGCGTTGGAAATGTCTAGAAGTCTGAAAACTGTGTGGCCCATCGCTAACTGCGATTTCTAGAACTTTCGTTTCCATATTTTACCAGTAGCGAACGGTACTAGTCATTCAATGACGTGGGCGACAGTAAGAATGACGTTTCTGTACCGTCAAGTTGTTACCAAAACCAAACCAAGCCAAACATTGAAATGATATTTCTCACTATTTAGCTACTTGTAGTTAAGAGGGGTTTTTCGATACGGTATTAGTCATTTCCTTCGGTAAACGATTCTGTGTTTAGTCGTCAAGTTCCATGTGTTGTGTGTTTGATTACGTGGAACTCATTCATTCTCGTGTCAGTGGTGTGAGCTTATGTCTGTTTACGTAAACATCGACCAGACGTCATTGAAGAGGATTCTAAACGACCTAATCACTTACAAACACACTCGCACCAGCACCAGCCACTACTTGCACAACTCGATCGATGGGTTCATAGCTCCAACCTCAGCTGTGGGACGCCTACTAGAAAATATCAACTTTTTCAAAAAAATTTTAAGGGGGGCCTTCTGGGGGTAACCGGGCAGGGTTTATAAAGGAGTTTCTGCAGGATTCAAAAATATGGAATTAATAAAGGAGGTTGAGTCACGATGGCAATGCTGGGACCACGTCCGGACCATGAGGCTCAAGGATGAACTGTCTTGAACAGGGGTCATATAGAGGTACCAAATTACCAGTACCGTACTTGGCCCGTTGCTTGTGATTTCGGGGCACCTTTTTAAAATCCAACCTTAATCATCTCTGACTGGTCACCCCAGGCACCCCAAGAAAACTATTTAATCGACTTTTTGAAAAAAAAAATTAGCGGATGATTTCGAAAAAGATTGGACCGCAGCCAAAAAATCTCAGCTACACGGAGCAGCCATTGGACAAATTGGTAGTCCAACAGTTAGCTTAATAGATTCCTTCAACGATGGGATCTTTGGTCCGGAACCCATTTGCAACCGCTGTCGCCGTGATTTTAGCTGAACTGCAAGTTGTCAGTCATCATTAAGATCACCGAATAATACTGGGGGCAAACATTACGGCCGAAATTTTTGCCTACGATTCTAAGGGGATTGGAAGAGAACTTTGTAGAGCGCAAGGGAATCAAAGTAATCAATCAGTCGATCAATAAATCCATCGCTATCACCCGTTGATCAGTCTGACAGAGTACTTTGAAGAGTCACCCCTGGTTCAGCAATGAGGACAATCTTGCCATCCAACCATTCCAAATTCTGGGCTTCGAGACCATAGGCTAATTCTGTTGGTCGCGCGTATTCCAACCAAAAAAGTCTGTTCGGGAAAAATCTGTTCGTAAACCTGTCAGTGGAATTCGGATTACTTGGTTATTATAATTTTTAGATCCTTTTCAAGGCGAATGGGGAAATCACGAAGGTGAAGGAATGTCAGACATTTTGATTCCCACAGGGTTTCTTCGAGAAAGTTCCACAGCACTGAACAAACATTGGAATTAAAAGAGAAAAAGGGCATGTAACAGACTCCCTTTTGAGTTGTCTTGCTTTCCAAGAAAAGAATGAAAGTGGTAAAATCAAATTAATTAGAAACCGAAAATTAGTAGCTAAGTGAATAACTAAATAGGCAAAAGTAGTACCACATGTATCACCTGTCGTCCCGTTGATCATCGACTTCCTCGAGCGGGCGCCAGTAACGTCTCCATTCGACCCTGTCACGAGCCAGAGTGGTCCAGTGAACCGTTCTACGCTTCAGGGACACGAGGTTCAACATTCCTCTCGTTCAGAGCTTTCGTGCAGAAGTCTGACCATCTCGTTGGCGGCCTTATTGGAGTACGACAAGATGTCTTACTCCTTTGTGACCGGATCCACCCCGATCATGTGGGATTATATCTTCTCATTTCGGCTTCCGTTTTTCGAAATCCATGGTCCCTGGATCCTGCCCTGTTTCTGTTAACTTCATATGTATTATTCTGCATTCGTAAATAGCTATTTTTCGCCGCAAATAGCTATTTTATTTTGTCATATTGTTTACATTTCTATTTTATGATTAATTATATTTTCCTCCGTGCTGGCCTTTTTAGAAAACTCTGCACTAGTTTACTGTCTTACGAGTATTCAATGCTTCTGCACCAAACAGCTTTTTTCCTGAGCTTACTTCGATGGGGAGGGGGTGGTGTAGTAGAGGGTGGCGCACTACCATGTACGCATGGTCTCAGGATCGAACCCCGAAACGAAACTCGCGCAGGCCATCCATGCTTTCCATGGGCCGTATACGCATTCAAACCGCCTGTACGATTTTGAATGGAGGTCAATGCGAGGGCGCATCCCAAAACGGGATCGAATAACGCTGGAAGACTTCCCTCCTTTTCTCACTTCGGAAAGGCTTTTTGTTTCTAGCTAGAAGGTCCTACCGCTTCTGAATTTTCTGAAGTCGGCCATTCCAGAGGCTCACCGAGTAGTACCCTTGGTTTCGCGTGGTATTCATTCGCAATTGTACCCATCACCAACCGCTGGCGCCCGAGCGTAAATCCCATCATGTCTTGTGAGTGTGTATGTTGACTCAGCGCCTTGGGTTTTCCTCGTCACCGTCGTCGATATTTCTCGAGCATTTTTCCGCGCGCGCGCAATCGCGCGACTCTCAGCGGCTCTTTCCGCCGCGCGGTGTTTCTGTCGCCGCCTCCCCTCAGTGACTGAGCGGTCCGTCTCGTGCACACAACCAATGGACATGGATTAGCTCAAAGTTCGCCTTCATTGTGTTCCGTCTACAGTACTGCTACAGTACTCTCAACGGCTATCTGCCAATTAATTATGTGCTCATTTGACACTACAGTACTCCATTGATTTCCAAATGTCTAAGTATTCCTACAATCGTAATCAGCCGAAGATCGATATCGCCGCTGCGATTCGTTTGTTTGAGAAGGAGGTAATGGGCTTTCGGGCCGGTTTTTTATTTTTTTTTTATGAAATTCCCGGATTATTTTTCTGAGCGACTGCTTAGCTGCTATTTTTTACTACCATCTGTCAAATGGATCCATTCTGTAGAAGAGACCAGCCAATACTATCGGATTTTCTGGGAATTTTTCGGCCTCAACTCGTTTTCAAGGTTAGGTCGGTGATCGCACTTCCCCAGTCATTCCTCTATACCCAGATATTTTCCGTTTTTTGGCAAAAATCGAAGTCACAAAAGTGTTGTGTGTGTGGCGTGTCTATAGTGGTGCACAGTGTGTGTGTTTACACAATTATGTTTGCGAACTGTCCCACCAAGATGGTGTCAATTGCGACCGAATTGGATACAATGGAAGAGGAAAAACAGCTTATTAATCGCTCATATGGGATCAATCCCTTGTTGGAAGGGTGCCTGTTTAGTAACATGAAGTGATTAAACGTTAAATGTCGAGCCTCGATCGATATTCCCCAGTTGCGCCACAAGCTTGACTTCAAGCAGGATTCGCTGGAGTACTTTGATGGCAACTGAGTGGATATAACTTTCCATTGGACCGAGCAGTTGTTCATAACGAGTCCTTCATCTTCCAAACACATTGACCTCTGACCCAACGACTTAGTCGAATGGCCGGGACGAGATTCGAACCTGGGATATGCAGAATGTAGATGTGTAGGTATCCGCATCACGTCACCAATTCATCTACTACTCTTATCAATACCCCTTCCCTCACCCCTCGAAGCCCTCCCTTCTCCCTGACCCTCGGATGTCAGATTTGTTCCGCTCCTCGGTAGGCTACCCCTACCCTTGGTGATAATCCTTGCGAGCAGATGAGGCCTTATAAAACCGTCGCTGCCCAGGTTCTAAATTAAATTGACCAACACTGTGAAACTTTTAGTTTCTCAACTTTTTAAGTGTTTTATTAATTGATCGATTAATTTGATACACGCATAGGTAAAAAATCATGTGCTAATGATTGGGTTATACTTTTAGTTCCAATCGTGGTTAAGGGAGGGCACTTGGATTGGAACCGTTGTTTCTGACTCCCACCGTCTTGAGGTCCCAAATTGTAGCCCTTCCTATTTCCTAACTTTGGACCCGACAAGAGCTGACG